AATCCCAGTGCTGGGGAGGCTGAGATAGGAGGATCACTATGAGTCCAAGCTGTGTAGTGACATCCTGTACCAAATATATAAAATTAGAGAGAATCAAGGAAAAAGAAACCAAATGAACAAAACAAAGCAAACAAACAAAAAAACACAAGAAGCAGAAACAAAAGCAATTTCTCCATCACTTCAAGCCTGTAGCCATCTGCCATCCTAATCGGTGAAATTATTATTCCCTCTTAATATGATTTTGCTGGATTAGTGTATGTGGGACATTATTTTCCATATAACTAAGAGCCATTTGTATAATTGTATAAAATTCTTTTTTGAGACAGGGTCTCTCTATGTTATCTCAGCTTGGCTTTAAAGTCACTATGTATTGCACTCAGTCTGGACTCCAACTAAGGGCGATCCTCCTGCCTCAGCCTCCCAAGTGCTGGGATTACAGGAGTGTGCCATGATTCTTGGCTACCAATTTCTCTTTTCCTATCTTTCCCTCACTTTTCCTATGATATTATTTATCCTTTGCCATATCTATTTTTATGAGAATAAAAGAAACCCTGACTGTGACAGGCTTCCAGAGTACATAACCCACCCAGAGTCCGTGCACACTGTAAATGTGCAGACTACACACGAATGCTCATGTAAACACCTAGTGCCTCTCTTGAAGCTCCAGAAGAGCTCAGCTGTGGTCTAAAGAGAGGCAGGAAACCGCTGGGCGGGGCGGGGCTGGGCGTGGCGAGCTCTTCGTGGCCCTGGTCGTCCCTTGGGCTGAGCAGGAAGCTGGCAGGTTTGCTCATGGTCTCCCTGGTGTGTGCACAGGCACGGCAGGGCTGGGTATTCTGCGCTCAGTCCCAGGAAGGTAAGAGCGTGAAGTTAGCTAGTCGGGCCCTCGGCGGGGGCCCTCCTTCTCTGGCTGTCAGCTGGGGCATCAGCTCCTGCAGGTGCCCACGTTCCTTGTCACAGGCCCCTACATCTCAGGGCCAGCCCAAAGCAGTTTCTCCCGTGCCAAATCTCTCTTGTGCTTTCGACCTCTGACTGTAGGTCCAGACCTAAGTAATGTATATGGCTAGGACAGGCCCAACTCAAGGTCACGTATCTCGCCACGTGTGGTGGCATCCCAGCACTCAGGAGGCTGAGGCAGGAGGATCACCACAAGTCTGAGGCCAGCTTGGGCTCTGTAGTGAGTTTAAAACATGCCTGGACTACATATTGAGATCCTGTTTAAAAAAAGATTTCCTCTCAAGATCAACTGGGCAGTGATGTCCTGGGACCAGGGCACTTAACAAGCGTGTGAGCTACTCCTTTGGAGGAGGTGTTTGCACACGAGGAGCCAGAAATTTGGAGAGGCATCTTAGGATTCTCCCCACCACATCCTCACCTGCCTTCCAGAAAAATAGAGCCTGTAGCTTTCGGAAGAGGAAATCACACTGAAACACTCAACGCTGGAGGAAGGAGGCGGGATGGCCCATCTAACCCCAAGTACCAAGACTAGCCCCATGCAGGCAGTCAGAGTTCTTGATGTGAGAAGTGATGAGACGGGAGAAAGCTGCAGAGAAAATCCAGACAGCCACCCACAGCGTAGGCGCCGAGCAGACCTTTCTTGACCAAGCGTGAGATTTCTTGCCCCAGTGCCCACCCCCGACCCCTCTGTACCTCGTGGTCCACCCCAAGGACAAGGGGTGTCCAAATGGGTGTGGCATCTTCCAGCTGTGTTGTTTCTTCATGGTGTGGAGGGGTCTGCAGCGTGCTTCTGTGAGATGCCGGGTGCAGTCCCATGGCACTGAACAAGCTGCCCTGGCCTGCAGCGCGTGAGCTGCTCAGGGGCAATGTACAAGGGCATGATTCCAAAAGCATCCTAAAGCTGCACTCTTCCCCTCCCGCTCTCTTTCTTTCTCAATCTGCCTCCTGCTGCTGGGACTCAGGCGCCTGCTACGTGATTTGCTCGAGACGGAAGAGACCTATATAAAGGAAATGAAGGGCATCATTGATGTAAGTACGTGGAGGGTGGTGAGCAGTTTACTCAAGCAAGAAGTTTCACTGCACACAAAGACTCAAAATACTTGTTTGTGTTTCTGGATCCCCCTAAGGCTTGAGGTCACCTATCACAAGTGTCTGTCCAGTAGGAATACAGACATCACGGCTCTTGATCTGTGTAGACTCACAGGTCCCGAAGATTCGGATTATGCCAGTTCCTACTGCTTCTACCACTGCCTGTATTGGTTCACCTATGCTTGCCAGCAGAGGATGACAAAAATGTTTGCGATACTGAGAGACCTCTCTCTCTCTGTCTCAGGCTCTCTCTCTCTCTCTCTCTCTCTCTCTCTCTCTCTCTCTCTCCAAGGATATTGCTATGTAGCTCAAGCTGGCCTCTAATTCAAAATTTTACTACCTCAGCCTCCTGATGATGGAATTACAGGCATAAGCCACCACCTGCTACTTGTTTTTAAAATAGATTTTCCCCCTTAAAAACGTGTATTTTCTGTCTTTTTTCCTAATGGAATAACCACTAGGAAGAGACTACATTTACAAAAATTATTTGCCTTAGGGGTGTGTGTGTGTGTGTGTGTGTGTGTGTGTGTGTTTTAGACACAGTTTTCTATGTAATGCAGACTCACTATGTTAGCCCAGGCTGGCCTTGAACTCACAGCAATCCTCCTGTCTCATCCTCTGGAGTACAGGATTACAGGTGTGCACAACCACCCTTGGCTTACCATAGCATTTTTACAATGGAAAATTCAAAAGTAATCAAACTATCCCTGAAAGAGGAGAATGGTTTTTACAATGGAAAATTCAGAAGTAATCAAACTATCCCTAAAAGAGGAGGATGATTTTAAAAGTATGATAAAGAATTGAAACCTTTCAAAAAAAATTGTTCTGGATTTATTACATGGTGGTGCAACAATAGCTTTGTCTTTTTTTTTTCCTCCGTATTAATAAAAGGGAGCGAGGACTGAATTGAACTTATCGTGGGTGTAACTATCATAAATAAAAGATATCTGGTGAAAAAACAACAACAAAAAGTATGATATGTGATGAATAAATATTTTCATCAGTTAAGAGTCATTTTAGATAATATGTAGCAACATTTTAAAATGTTCCTGGTAGAAGCCTAAATTAATAATATGTATAGCTTTTCCTTTTTTTATTTTTTTAATAATTTTATTGAGAAATAGCAATAAGACAGTTTCAAAACCAATTAGTAGGACAGTTTCAATAATTAACGCATTGCATATTGTTGTCTTCTTAGTGGTTATTCATAGTACAAGATGCAGACATGATATCCTGTCCACAAACACTGTTAGAACAAATCTTTCTATTCATTAAGAGAAAGACAATATGTAGAGCTTTTTAAATTGAGCCTAAAATATACTTGGAGGAGAAAATACAAAACTATATACATATCATAATTATAACCATATAAAGTGAGCCTTGTACAAGTTATGAAGGAGATTCAGCAAGACTTGAGAACAGTTTCCCATCACAAAACGGCGAGTAAGTTTCTGCTTGTCATGTACAACTTGTGTAACTTATTAGCACTTAAAAACATGTTTGTTCTTCCCCTTAAAATACTGTTTTGTTTCGATTCCCGGTACCAAAAAAGAAAATAGTGAAAATAAGACCAAAAAAAAAAGTCCCTTTGGAAAAAAAAAAAAAATACTGTTTTGTCATTGCCAGGAAGCTCTGACCTTCTGATATCATGAGGAAAATGGCATCCAACGAGAGCATCCGGTAGCCCAGATCTCCGCAAGCAGGCACACTATATTTCTCAACAGTTGCCCTCGCGTGCTGCCCCTTAAGAGTCGCTGATTTAGGTCATCTCTTTTATACTGACTGTAACGCCCATCTTATTTCCATCTCTGCAGGGCTACATCACTCCAATGGATTTTATTTGGCTAAAGCATCTGATTCCAGATATTTTGCAGAACAACAAGGACTTTCTTTTTGGGAACATTCAGGAGCTTTACGAATTTCACAACAGGTATATGATGATCCATATTGCCCAGAGATACGGTGACGAGTGGGAATTTCTGGGATGGCAGAACTTGGACGTGAGACAATTGAATGTTACTCAGCTTGAGCAGGGGGGTTGGTTCAGGCAAGGAGGGGAGAGAGGAGGAAATAAACATGGCGCGAGCCCTGAGGCAGAAGAAGAAGACACCCATGGGTGTGTGCTGGGTGTCACCTAGCCAGGCTGTCTGGGCTGTGTGTTCCTTTACTTGTTTATTTAATGTATGTCTATTTCTCATGTGTCTGTTCTGTGCCAGGCACAGTGCACGGCACTGGAGATGCAAAGATGACTCGACACCTGCCCGTAACCCATTGCCCCCCAGTGATACTGCTCTCAGGAAATGTTCATGTCCCAAACGAGCCCTAGTTGTCTCCTAATGCCATCCCTTGTCCATCCATCAGATGCAAAGAAGTAGAATCCAGTATCCGCTACTCTCCCTAACGCAGTAATTCAGCCTCTTAGGACCTTGGGTTTCACATGCACGAAACCTTGGCTTGGAGGGACTGGGTGAAGGTGACAGTGATGACAACAGCGTTGGTGGCCTCAGGCAGCCTCCTGCCCATCTCTGGCCCTGCCCCCAATGAGCACCACAGCCGCGAGCAGGCTCATGGCGCAGGAGTGCTCTGGACACATCGCTGTCTCCCAAATCAGTGCAGAGAAGATGAGCAGAGAGCAATAAAGCCTGGAGCATTTTTCTAGCTTCTCCTTGAAATTATGTGATCTTACTTACAAACATTTTTAAATCCATACATGTAAAAAAACACAATCAAGACATTACTGTATTATACTTTTATTTCCCTAGGACTTTTCTAAAAGAATTGGAAAAGTGTGCAGAAAACCCTAAACTTCTGGCATGTTGTTTTCTCAACAGAGTAAGTCGCCCTCCCCACACACCTAAAATAAAGCCAGTCTTTATTTTTCTGTGTAAATGGCAAGGTCAAAGGGAAACCCCAAAGGTGGCAAAATATCTCTGCCTTTGTTGACATACAGCTGACAAATGAAAATTGCAGATGCTCTAAGTACAGCGTGATGACTTGATCCCGGAATCCACTGTAGAATGGCTACCACAATTGAGTTACTCCACTGAGCCATCTCCCCGGCCCCTACAGTTGAGTTAATTAGCATACCTATCTCCTGCATAGTTATCATGGGGGGTGAGTGTGTGTGAGTGTGTGTGTGTGTGTGTGTGTGAGAGAGAGAGAGAGAGAGAGAGAGAGAGAGGAGAGAGAAATGTGATAAAGTTGAACTCACAGAAGCAGAGATTAAAAGATGTCTTAGTTACTTTTCTTATCACTGAAACGAAATGCCAGATGCACAATGTTAAAAGAAGAAAAGTGTATTTAGCTCACGGTTTGTAGAGGTTTCAGTTCATGGCTGGTGGGCTCCGAGGTAGGGTGGAATGACAGAGGAGCATCAAGGAGGAGAAACAGTCCATGGCAAGCCGGCAGGAGGAATTAAAGCAGCAAACAGCAGCTGCAGCAGCAACAGGGCCTGCCTGCCTTATTTCTGTCCCTTTATATTCCACCCAGGCTGCAAGCCTGTTGATTGGTGCCCCCCACAACCAGGGTGGGGCTTTCATTATGTACACACTTAACCCCAGTATCACACACTTAATCCATATTCACACATCCTAAACCCAGCTACCTCTGACAAGCCCACCTATGACTGCATAAGGGGGGACATCTAGGTACAAGCCATAACTGAAGGGCTGATTGTAAGGGGCTGGGCGTAGGAAAAATGAGATGTTGGTCCAAAGGCACAAAGTTTCAGTTATGGGTACATTCTAGAGATACAGTATATAGTATAATTGATGATACTGAATGGTATACTTGAAATCTGCTGTGAGAGTAGACCTGCCACTGTCCATTAGATGCAGCCAGGTGTCCTTTGCCGTCCCAGGGGCCCCCCACTGCCCCTCACTCCATCCAGCATGAGAACAAGTTGGGCTTGACCGTGCTCACGCCAAGAGTGGGAACACCTGCGTGCCTGACTTCCTGCCAAGCCTGTGAGTAGAAGGATGGCCCCCCAGGGGGCCCCCAAGTGGGTGATCCTCTAAGGAAAGCTGACTGTGCTCAGGGCAAGAGCCATGCAGTATGCTGGGGAGACAGCTCAGCAGCACAAGCACCTGCCTGGCAAGCTCAAGAGCCTGAGTTCCATTCCTGGTACAAAAAAAAAAAAAATTAAGAACCATGCAACTGGCTTAAAGCCCTACACTAAATTTTATTAATGCCCTCAAGAGGAGAGGTTTTGGTGTCAAACTAAAAATCTCAGAAAACATTTTCTCTCATTTTATAGAATAGAGGATGATTACATGTTTAAATCTGTAGCCTGCTTTTTTTCTATTTGTTTTTCTTTGCTTTGTTGAGACAGGGTAAACTCACTATGTAGATTCACTGTGTATTTCAAGGTGACCTTGAACTCACTATGTAGTCCAGGCTGGCCTCAAATTCATGGTGACACACTTGCCTCAGCCTCCTGAGTGTTGCTGGGGTTACGCGTGTACGTCCCATGCCTGGCTCTATAGCCTTTCTTATGCTTAGCAGCCAATTTTAAACTTCCTGTTACCTCTTCTCCCCCATCCCAGGATCTCCCCGTTTCCCTGCCTGTCTCTCTGGACCCCACCTTCAGGCCCGGGCAGCTGGCCTGGAGGAGCCACTCACCACACCGTCTTCCCCACCCTGCCCTTTCTGGACGTTGAGCTGGCGTCCTCCCAGCCTTTCCCATTTCTTCTCTTTCCCAACACGCCCTAATTCTCAACTTACTTATTTTTTTTTTTTTTGTGAGCCCAAATCAACAGCTACACAATGTAAAGTTTCTGAGATACCCAAATGATGGCTGAAGCCAGGCGTGGTGGCACACACCTGTCATTCCAGCACTCGGGAAGCTAAGGCAGGAGGATCGCTGCACGTTTGGGGCAACCTGGGTGGGCTATGTAGTGAGTTCAAGGCCAAGGCCAGCCTCCACTATAAGCAAAACCTACCTCAAATAAACAAATAATAAAATACCCAAATGATGGCTGATGCTCGTGAGCGTAGCACACGCAACAAACTGCAGGTGAGCAGACAAAGCGTCCCAGGCCGTGGGGGGCTGACGTGATGGGGAGACCGAGTCCCGCGTCCACCTGAGCTTCCCAGCCTGGCTTCCCTAGGCTTCTCCTCAGGGCTGGAATCAAAGACACACTCCAAGTTGTTTCATTCTCAGTCTAGTCTTTACCTTTTTGAAATGCTATTCCAACATCCTAGTGTTTCCGGACTATTTCACACATGCACGCTCATTACACTTCTGGGAAATCTGGTTCCAGAGCACAGGGCTGCTCACGTCATTCTTGCCAAGACTGATTAAGTAGCTGAATGAGAAAAAAAAAGATTCCTAGGGGAAGAGGTGGGCGTGGCCAAAATCATCCACATCTGAGGAAATGGTCAGGGAATTGCTGATTGGACACTTTTCCAGACCAAATTCCTCTTCAGAAGTTTTATGGCCTTTTTTCTGCTGACTCCCTTTGGGAGAAACTTCAGAAATCATTCTTCTAGGCTGCAGAATTCTCTTCTAATCTTGTGCAATGTATGATACTGGGGACAAATGCAGACAGTAAATTCCTACAGAGCACAAAGGTTTTCTCATGTTCAGAGGAGTGGAAAACCCCAGATATCGGAGCTGATAGGTGCAAGCCCTGACAGCCGGGATGTAGGTAAGGCCTCCTGGTCACCGCATCGTGTTCTGCAGCCTGCTCTGCAGCACAGCAGGATGCTCCCTGTGGCCAGCTCCTGGGCTGTGTGAGCCAGCGTTCAGCACTCATTCCACTGAGCTATCTCCCCAGCCGGTTATCTGAACTTTTAAGGGGTCTGCAGTTTTTGGTCGCTACTTAGTTCTCTTTGTTGGCATTGTGATGGGTGGGGAGAGGGTGTCGCGGGAAGGGGAGGGGCCCCCAGCACTTTCTGTCAGATTTACTGCTGGGGAGATATCACTCCCTGAGAAATCGTAGTTTCCTGGGCAAACAGCCAGGGATGAAGATAAACACCAGCTCCTGTCTGAATTTACTACTTATCAAGAGCCCTTGGGCCAGATATAGTGGCACATGCCTGTGATCCCAGCACTCGGTCACTGAGGCGAGAGGATCACTGTGAGTTCACTGGGCTACAGAGTGCTTTCAAGCCAGCCTGAACTGCATAGCAAAACCCTGTCTCAAAAAACACAAAAAGACGCAGACAGACAGACAGACAGACAGACAGACAGACAGAGAAGCCCTTGCACACATGAGTAGCATGCTTGTGTGGGGGAGAATTTAGGGGGTTATAGCCCTCTCAACTCACTGCCCACCCCAGACTCACCCCAATATAAT